ATGTAAGTCATGAAACCATTAAACTCTTGGAAAAAAACATAGGCAAAAACCTCTTAGACATAAACATGAGTGATCTCTTCTTGAACATATCTCCCCGGGCAAGGAAAACAACAGCAAAAATGAGCAAGTGGGACTACATTAAGCTGAAAAGCTTCTGTACAGCGAAAGACACCATCAATAGAACAAAAAGGAACCCTACAGTATGGGAGAATATATTTGAAAATGACAGATCTGATAAAGGCTTGACGTCCAGAATATATAAAGAGCTCACACGCCTCAACAAACAAAAAACAAATAACCCAATTAAAAAATGGGCAGAGGAACTGAACAGACAGTTCTCCAAAAAAGAAATACAGATGGCCAAGAGACACATGAAAAGATGCTCCACATCGCTAATTATCAGAGAAATGCAAATTAAAACTACAATGAGGTATCACCTCACACCAGTAAGGATAGCTGCCATCCAAAAGACAAACAACAACAAATGTTGGCGAGGCTGTGGAGAAAGGGGAACCCTCCTACACTGCTGGTGGGAATGTAAATTAGTTCAACCATTGTGGAAAGCAGTATGGAGGTGCATCAAAATGCTCAAAACAGACCTACCATTTGACCCAGGAATTCCACTCCTAGGAATTTACCCTAAGAACGCAGCAATCAAGTTTGAGAAAGACAGATGCACTCCTATGTTTATCGCAGCACTATTTACAATAGCCAAGAATTGGAAGCAACCTAAATGTCCATCTGTAGATGAATGGATAAAGAAGATGTGGTACATATACACAATGGAATACTACTCAGCCATAAGAAGTGGAAAAATCCAACCATTTGCAGCAACATGGATGGAGCTGGAGAGTATTATGCTCAGTGAAATAAGCCAAGCGGAGAAAGAGAAATACCAAATGATTTCACTCATCTGAGGAGTATAGGAACAAAGGAAAAACTGAAGGAACAAAACAGCAGCAGAATTACAGAACCCAAAAATGGACTAACAGGTACCAAAGGGAAAGGAACTGGGGAGGATGGGTGGGCAGGGAGGGATAAGGGGGGGGAAGAAGAAGGGGGGTATTAAGATTAGCATGCATGGGGGGAGGGGAGAAAGGGGAGGGTGGGCTGCACAACACAGAGAGGACAAGTAGTGACTCTACAACATTTTGCTAAGCTGATGGACAGTAACCGTAATGTGGTTGTTAGGGGGGACCTGATATAGGGGAGAGCATAGTAAACATAGTATTCTTCAGGTAAGTGTAGATTAAAAATTTAAAAAAAAAAAAAAAAAAAAAGAAAGAAAGAAAAGGGGGATTACTCCTTAACAGGATAAAACTATTGGTAAATCAAAGATCAACGCATGCTTTAAATATCCTTAATGTTGATCACTTAAAGGGTGTCAGATGATCAGCTATGGAGGTACTCTTTTCTGATAATATTCCTTTCTCTTAATTAAAAAAAAAAAAAAAAAAAGTTACTGTGTGCTGACCTCCAATGAGTTCTGCACAGTGGTATAGAGGGCATGTCAAAGTGTGGGCAAAGGGTCTGTTTGTTTCTACGCAGAAGATCAAGGCCTAGCTTGGATACCCAGAAAATGAACTAAGATACGATATGAGGAGGAGCTTCCGGCATCAGCACTCTCTGGAGGACTCGTGCCGGGGGATGATCATCAAAAAGCCTCCACAGGGATCCGGACGATGCTGCGGTTGTGGCTGCATCCAGCCCACCATCTCCTGGACTTGCCATAAGAAGGAGGAGGGAGATGTCTAGGCTGGCATGTGCATACAGTGAGACAACGAATTTGACTGGATCTGTACTGTTGGAACTCAACCAGGAGTTGGGAGGGGTGCAAGTTGTAGCACCCCAAAATCTCATGACTATAGACTATCTATGGTTAAAAGAACATATGGGATGTGAACAGATCCCAGAAATGGGCTGCTTTAATTTGTCTGATGGTTCAAGTACAGTTGGAAAATATCCATCATATCATAGATAAATTTTCACAAATGCCTAGGGTGCCTAAATGGTTTTCTTGGCTTCACTGGAGATGGATGGTAATTATAGATTTGCTTTGTTTATGTCACCGTATTCCTATTATGTTAATATGTGTGTGCAAATTAGTTAGTAGTTTAAAACCTATACATACTTAAGGTACTATACAAGAAGATATGTCAAAGAAATAATCAATCCTCCCAAGTTTCCTTCATATGCTACCTCTATAGCTTTTCTTCTTCCTTCCTAATTACAACCCTTAAATAGAATTCGTGCCTCATATCGAATTTACCGAGTATCATAATTCCTCCAGGTGGTAAAGATACCTCGAGACAAGTGCTGGGCATAGAAGCCCCAGGGCATAAATCTGCAAAGAAGTAAAAAGCTAACCTTTTCAAACAATATGGCTTCTCTCTCACTTACCAACTTTACATTTCCCTGTATGGCCCCAGATGATGACTGGTTAGCCAGAGACGGGTAAGATTCCTCAAGGGAGGAACAACCTAAGACAGGCACAGTTGCAGGGGGGCCATCAGGTGAGAAATTGGGGAACAACAGAGGTGAGGCTTAGAACCTCACCCCCCCTGTTTTGAGAGAAATCTTCTACATCCGTGGATGTATTACTGCCCTTGTCTAGCTTGGATTAATACTTAGTCTATAGGCACAGACCTGATCATCTACATTTGCCCTCTTACAGCACTAAATTATGTTTTCTACCTTTATCTTGCATATACCTACCACTCCAGTATTTTATTAAAAATAATAATAATAAGAGAGAAATTTGGGATTCACATATAAATCAAGTATAAAAATCAAACAAATAAAAAAAGATGTTTTCTTCATTTCTCTATAATGCTCTGATGGAAATCTACTTCTATAGATTTCTAGAGAAATTTTAATGGAAATTCTAAAAAAATATGTTGTGTTCAACTAACTTTAACCAAAATAACTATATGAAAGTAGTTCCAATTCTTTTCAGCAAAAAATGGTTTCTGCATATTTGGCTGGACATAAATAAGTATGTAATCTAATGCCAACTTTTAAAAAGCAGCATCCAATTTTACGTTTGCAAAGGTTCTGACATTTTTTTTGAAATAGACAAATCAGCAATAAGCAAAAATATATTTACATTGCTTTAATAAGTTAACTATATTTGGGTTAAGGTGATCATTATCCTTTCCATTTATATCGCCATCACCACAAATAACCAAATGCTAGTCATGAGCCCTATCCCCAAGTGCCTTTCTACTTCAAATTCTTAAAAAAGTAACCAAAAGTCCCAAGCATTCAACTGAAATGTAGCTGATTGAGTCTAAGTAATGGTCATTAAGAGAACTAAACAAATATTGAAGAGCTATAAACATGCTTCTGCTGAAAGTATTTTTTCATCGTTTCAAAGAAACTGTGACAATTCCACTACTTTAATCCAAGTTTTGCTTCTTAATAGAGTTTCCTAATTTTGCATGGGGTCACATATATTTAGTAGCCACCCAGCATCAAAATCATAGGAAACATTCCATCTTTTAAATAATGTTCATGGGTGATTTTTTTCTCAAAGACATCTCTGATTCCTGATTATGCTCTAATCAAATATTCAAATGATGGAGCTCTGAATAAATAGAATAGACTAATTCACTGAGGGCCATAATCTTTATAGAGGAAGCATCCTTCTACTTGGCCATAAAAATATATATGGAGCTTAGTAAAATTTCATCAGCTTCCTTTCCTACAAAGGTTATGTTATAAATTTTCTTCATTATTTTAGAAGTCCTCAAAACTGGAAGCTAATTTAAATCCATCAAAAATGTCCTGAATCTCATGTTTCCAATGCCTCTTTCTCTCATCCCCCATGTGTATCTATTACAATCATATCAATATTGCAAAGCTCTGTTCAAATCCATCAACTATAATGCTTTTTATGATCCCTGCACCCTCTCTTCTCCAAACTAGGTTGGATTCCTCCCACCTCTAAATTCCTATAATAGTTGATGATTATCTACGCTATTCATCACAGTCTGTCTTATTAATGCAAGTTAAATGGGTACTTGTTGTTTGTCTCACTTTTAGTTTGTGAATCCTAGAAGTCAGGGGCGGTATCTTATTTATATATTTCCTATATTGCCCAATATGGCATGTATACATAAAGGGTATAATATTTGTTGAATAAATGAAGGAACAGAAGAACAAATCAGTGGGTTGCTCTAATTAACTATACTCTTTTGATCCTATATACCCTCATATTACTTCTTCACAAAAAGAAAAAACATATTAAAAAGCTTGGATCACATGATACTTGGAGAGAAGGCAGAGAGCCATGTGCCAAACTAATAGGAGACATGGGAGAGATTATAAAATATTATTTGTGTTTCATTATCCGATGGTCATTAAATTTTGAAAATAGTATGCTATTGATGGTGATATCATAAATTATCATAAATATTTAATGTTCAGTTTTTACCCTATATTTTACTTATACTATCTCCAGACAGCCAATGAAATAAGGGGATAGATTATTACTATGACTTTTGTTTTACAGTTGGGGTAACAAGTTCATGTAAGTTAAATTTCATATCCAAGGTCATTCATTTAAAGTGACAGAATCAGAACTGAAACTCAGGTCTTTATGACTACAAGTTCTGTATGGTGTACACTACCACAAACTACCTCTCAAACACCAAAAGATGCACAGCATTTACTGTTTCACCCCAGCAGTGGGAATGGTTTTTGCATACTCTTCTACTCTGTCATTAATCTGGCCACACTTCTCACACACTGTACTCATGACTGCAAGACATGAAGCTAGAATGAAAGGTGAGATCTGTGCTCATGGTATGGAAACAAACAACAGTGAAGAAAACCACACCTTAGCAGGCCTAGTCAGAAATCAAACTCATCAATACTGTATGCTAAGTAACTGAGTCAATGAACCATGTTTTTTCTGAAGATCCAGTGGTATTGCTAATATTTTACTAAAATTCACATGTAGTTAACACCCTTGTCCTCTTCTAAATTATGATTCTTACCTTTATAACAGAGGCTCCTGCTCTGGAGAGTGGACTGTGAATCTGGGCTGCAGCAGCCATGTTGGCAATAGTATTGAGATGGTTCATCTGATTCATTGCCATGGCAACTGATGCAGGAGGTAAGCTGACTGGAAGTAGGGGATGAGGCATCATCATAAATGGCAGATCCAGTCCTAAAAGCGACAGTGCATCTTAAATTATTATATTTGTTACATTATTTGGACAAAAGGAAATCATATCAAAATTGATGCTATGAAATTACAAAAAAAAGTATCTAAATTTATTTTGTTGCCTTTTTTAAAAATCAGGTTTTATTAAATTCTCATATTTCCTTGGGCAATTAATAGTACCTAGGATTTAATATATATTTTTAATGTTCCTCCACTTTTATTTATCAATATTCCTTATTTTGCTCTCTCTCCCAAAATATTTATAAGATGCAATCTTTTTTCACTCAGAAAACAAGTCTTTAAGCCAAACATCATTTTGTTTAACAAAAAGAAGTAACTTGCTTTTTAATCATTATAGTATATTGATGTGTTCATAATTTCTAGCTTAACACTTTCTTTAGGAGACATAATAGTGCTGCTGGTAAGACAGGATGTAGATTCTCTAGGCTTCAGAATTATTGAAGAAAATAAGAGTTGGAATATGTTCTACCCTTTTAATTAAAGATTCCTAAAATGAATGCTTATAGTTCTAATTTGAAGCTTTTGTCCATAGGGAAAAACTCCCCTATCAAAATATCAACCTGTTTTCCACTTTAATAGCAAATATAAATATCATTGAATAGCACTTAGCATTCTGTCTTCTTAAGCAAGTTAAAATAATTTTCACACATTTTAAATTTCCTAAAGAATTTCTCACAAGTATCATCCACATTATACTGTGGTAGCCACAGATATGTCTTCATGAAAAAGGTAACAAATTAAAATAGTTGTCTAGTTACCCCTTATTAGTTGGGATTTGTGAGGAAACACCTTTGAGCAGAGGCTAGGGAAAGTTACCCAACATTATGGATGCTAACATTACTATGATAACTAAACCATAGCACTTTACAATGCATTTTAAACTATTGCCTCAACAGTCATTTTACCTTCTTTTGGCCAGATGCCCAGAAACCAGCAATCTTTAACAGATGTTCTAAAATATCCTTGCCTATAATTTTCCTAAATCATTACAGATTATAGAAATTTTATGATGGGCAATGGTTATGCTGGTCCTACAATCTATCAACTACTAAAAACATCCCTTTTTCCTCTTTGCTTTCCTCATTTATTCTTGCTTCTCATATCACAATAGCAACAGAATGATGAATGTATAGGAAGTATATTCAGAGGCTCCCTAAATCTCACTCTTTAAAACAGCAGTAGCAGTTATGCAAACACATAATTTTAGGACAAAAAGGAGGCTAGCAGGAAAGAAATGCTATTAACTAATTTGGGGTATTTCTCCTGTGTTCAACAGTGATGGCTGGATTAAAAATCCACTAACAAAAAAGTTCAAAGGCACACAATGTATTAGAATGCACTTCCAGATATGACATGTCTTATACAACACTAAGGTGGTCATCTCAGCTAAAGAAACAACTAAAAAAAGAACACAACCGTCATCAATAGTTCTGAAAAAGAGAGGCACAAAATGTACTGTTATCAGTATTATACAAGGGTTTTTTAAAAAGCTAGAAACTTAAATTCTGTGTGGAAACCAAGAAAGGGACCATCCTCTCTACTTCCTCTGACTCCAAGTCCCCAGAGAATATCAATAAAATATTTCAAATTTTTCCTCTGTAACTTGCTTATGGCTCATTATATCTAATCCTATTTAGGAGTAATCTGTCAGACCAAACTTTTCAGTTATGAAACATTTTTCCTGTGATTTTTAAATTATTTGAGAAGCCTCAACACAGTGTAATCACTGAATTCAAAATGGCTTTCTGCCCTTCCTTTTAAACTCTAAATTTATTTTCAGTTAGCCTTCTAGAATTACTTAGATGTATATGCATGCATTTTTATGCTTTACCCATTATACAACTTGGCTATAATGATGGGATATTCCATAACATATTTTGAACTAATCACTGTTTATCTTTCCCTTAGAACCTTCACTTTATGCTTAACATAACAGCAACCATCAGTGACTTAAGCAGGTTTCTTTATAAGGTTCTCATTTACTGCAAACCCAAGATAATTATAGAGTTCAATTCTTCTTTGTGTACACAGTGCTTTAGTAGCAAACTGATCAAACTGCAGATGAAAAGTTGCCATCAGTGCCTCCCTTTACCGCTCAAATGCTTAAATCAGCCTTTGTTCAATTTACACTTCCCTTAACAGTGCAATTATCCTTCTTCATTCTCCAAAGATTTTCAGCATCATCCAGACACCATCTGGCCATATCAAGTCATATGAGTACTTACAGTCCAATTGACATGCAAACTAAATGCAAACTATGAACAGAATTTAACATCCCATTGACAGTTTTAAAATATAATTCATCAAACATTTCAAATAATCATGAAGGAATTAAAAAAATTACACTTTCAGATCATGACCTGCAATAGCTAACCGTCAACTGACTATAGTTCCCTAGACTATAAGCTAATATTTACATTACAGGCCAGTTTAACAGTGACCCCACATGAGCTGCACATGCAAAGCTTATGCAAATACTGAATTATGTAAGTCAACCTTTTCCCAAAGCTGAAAACATTGAATTAAGAGCCATCAATAGTACACAACAGACAAGCAATCTGGCTCATTTAGTCACATGCCAGAAATGTACAGAGGCTTTTAATAGTATGGTAATGAAGACAATTCTTTTAAAAAAAGTCACCAGAATGGGTGATCTCTTTCTTGTCAACCTCAAAGGCATCAATCTACTAAAAGCATTATTTCTAACACATCTTGGTTGGAATTCTGGCAACTCCTGTAACTTTTATGCAAGAACATGGCAACACCTCTTCATAGCCATTAAAGGTACAAACTTGAGTAATACTATAATCCTCCTTTCTGAAATCCCACATTCATTCAATTTCCAAGTCATGTTGGCCACTGTAATATATTGTCATTTCTGCAATCAGGCACTACAGAATATAACATCTCATTACATTCCTCAATGTATGCCCTGCTCTAGCCCCACTGGACTATTTGCTGCTCTCTAGCTTTAATGCAAATTAGCCTTTATTTTTATTCATGCCTGTCTCTGGAATCTACCTAATTCTACTTAGTTTGAATTAATAGACTTTATTTTTAGAACAGTTTTAGGTTTAAAGGAAAAAATGAGCAAATTTACTTTTTCTTTACACAAGGAACTTCTATATACCTCCTCTCCACCAGCAGTTTCCCCTTATTAACATTTGTATTAGTGTGGTATATTGGCTACAAGTAATGAATCCATATTGATAAATTATTATTAACTAAAGTCCATAGTCTGCATTAGGGTTCATTCTTTGTTTTACACATTTTGTGGCTTTTCACAGATACACAGCATCGTGCATCTACCTACCATTACAGGATCACACAGAAGAGTTTCAATGTCCTCAAAGTCCCCTGTGCTCCACTTATTCATCCCTTCTCTTTTTCCTTTGGTTTTTACTGTATATAGATTTTTCTTTTCCTGAATGACATATGGGTGGAATCATACACTATTTAGTCTCTTCAGACTGGCTTTATTTTCCTTAGCAATATGCACTTAAGATTCATCCATGTCTTACACAGTTTTCATAGCTTGTTGTTTCTGTTTTTTATTGCTAACTACTCTTCCCTGGTATGGATGTACCATGGTTTGTGTAATCATTCACCTACTGAAGGTCATCTTGATCTCTTCCAACTTTTAGCAATTATGAATAAATTTCATAAAAACAATTGTATGTATATGTATATGTGGACATAAGTTTCAGCTCATATGGATAAATAGGAAAGATTCTTTAGCTTTATGAGAAAATGCTGAAATATTTCCCAGTGTGGCTATACCATTTTGCATTCCCACCAGCAATGAATGGGAATTCTTCTTGCTCCACATCCTTACCAACAATTGATGTTGATGGGTTTGGATTTTAGACACTCCCATAGGTATGTAGGGGTATTTCATTGATGTCTTACTCTGAAATTCTCTAATGACATGACCTATAATGTTGAGTATGTTTTCATATGCTTTTTTCCCATCTGTGCATCTTATTTGATGAGGGGTCTATACAGGTCTTTGGCCCATTTTTAATTGGGTTGTTTACTTCTTATTGTTTACTTTGAAGAGTTGTTTGTAAATTTTCTATCAGTCCTTTATCGGGTATGTGTTTTGCAAAATTTTCTTCCACTTTGTAGCTTGTCTTGTCATTTTCTTAACAGTATATTTCACAGAAGTTTAAATTTTTAATTTTTAATGTTTAAGTCCAATTTCTCCATTTTTCTTCTTTTAAAGATCATGTGTTTAGTGTTATATCTCAAAATTCATTGCTAAACCTAAGGTCACCTAGACATTCTCTGATGTTATCTTCTAATACTTTTAGCACTTTGAAATTTACATCAAGGTCCATGATCCAGATTGCACTGATTTTTGTGAAGAATGTAAAGTCTGTGTCTAGATTCTTTTTTTTTTTTTTGCATGTGGATACCTACTTGTTTGAGCATGACTTGTTGAAAGATTGAAATTCCTCCATTTAATTGCCTTTGTGCTTTCATCAAGGACCAGTTGACTAGGTTTGTATGGATATATTTCTGGGATCTCTACTTGATTGTAATGATTTTTTGCCAACGTTGTACTATTGGTAACTATAGCCTTTAATAAATCTTGAAGTAGGATAGGATCGGTCTACTGATTTTTTTGTTATCTCCAATGTCATATTGAACATTCTGGGCCTTTTGCTTTCCATATAAACTTTAGAATTAGTTTGTTGATAATCACAAAATAACTTCGTTGGATTTTTACTAAGAGTGTACTGAATGCATAGGTCAGGGTAGGAATAACTGACATCTTAATGATATTGAGTATTCCTATACATGAACATAGAGTATTTCTCCATTTATTTAACTAGTATTTGATTTCTTTTATCAGGTTTTATAGTATTCCTCCTAAAGATCTTATACATATTTCGTCAAGGTTTATATTTAAGTATTTCATTTTTTTGTTGCTAATGTAAGAAGCATTGTGTTTTTAATCTCAAATTGCAATTGTTCAT